GAACTAACCATTGTCAGTATTCTCTTCATAGAGAAAGAGCAAACAACCTGAAATCTCAAGGTAACATGCAGCTCCATCTCTTTTTTTGCAGTCCCACAGCTTATTTGGATTGAAATAGATTTCAGACAGTTAAAAAAAAAAGTGGGGGGGGGGAGAGGAAATACCCCCACACACATACACACCAATTAGACATAGGGTCAAGTTCAATTAAAAAAAAAATTAGAGTATGAAACTCTAATACCAGAATACCTACTAGATAGCCTTCCCCTATTATACATGCATTGATGCTATGATTGAGCAATGAGATTCTATTGCAGGCCTGTGAATTGTGATCCTATAGTGACTTCTTAGTGATGGAACCTGCACTTTGGAATAATCCCCCAACATTTTAGGGCCACCTACCACTATATTGTATAGGCAGTTAAGAACTATTGTTTCACTGTCCCTGTGTGGATGAATTCCACCCATTTTAATGCACATGTTTTATATTACTGTAACTATTGTTGTTTTATTATTGTTTTAAATTTGATTGTAAGCAGTGCAATGTTTTTAAAGAAATACATTCTTATGAATACAATGACTGAAATAAATACTGATGCAAAAATAAATTCCTGATGTATATCTGCTTAATACAAGCACAGACCACCCTAACAGTAACTTGTGCTGCCTTTATTACAAGTAAAAATAAAGTCTTTTGTTTATTTATTTATGGTCCAAGACCAAGTCAAAGATTAAGTCAATATACAGTATATCACTATCCACTCTACAAATCTGAGGTGCTCTTAATATTGTTCACTTTTAATTGTACAATATCACTAAACATGCCTAGCTTTAGAACTTATTTTATTAAATTGATTTTAAAACTACATTTCTAGTTTCTATTGGATTTCTGAGAATGGCTAAAAATCCAAAAACAAAATAAAGTTGCATATAGGGATATAAAAGCAAATTGTAACACATTTTTAATTTAATGGCTGGTCCTATCAAAATGAATTCTCTCCATGGGAATGAAATGAATTGGCATCCTTCTTTCTCTGCTCAAATATCTGCTGCAGTTCTATTGTTTGCAAGAAAGGTGCTTGACTTAAATGCCCTCTCCATCCATGTGCTACACTTTTTCTCAAGTGTCTCTTCCCCCATTTTTTTAGTTCAAAAACTTTATATTGGAGGGACAGTTGAAAACAAAAATATATACAAAGCTTTTTGATGAATTAAAATGTTTAAAAAGATGCCCTGTTAACACTACTTTATTAATATAACATTAAAAATATTATGCTATATATATTGTACACCAAATACTAAATAAATACAACATACAAATCTGACAGTTGGCAGCTCTTCATAGGCCAAGCTAGATGGCAACACATAATTGAGCTTGGCTGATCTCAAAAATCTAGGCAGGATCTAATCTGGTAATGATTGTTGGAAATCTAAGAATTGGAATTTAGAAGCAGAATTGGGGGTGGGGGAGAAGAAAGCCTGTCCGGAAGAAGGTAAATGGGTTCTGTATTGTTTGCCATATCCATAAAGTTACCTGCACTCAAGATTGATTCAAGAGAAATTTTACAATTACTGATTCTTAATATCATAATGTTAAGTGGTTTAAACAACTCTTATTATTTTGACTCATATCACTGATGTTTTTGTTACTGAGGAGACTGTTACTTTGACTTAAATGTTCATTTAATCTGTAAAGTTTTGTTAGTTTATATGGAAATCACCATACCTTTTGACAAATTTTTATCCATAAATTATGAAAAAGCTAAGTAGTAAAAAGGAAAAGAAAAAAAATAGAAATTCACAGTTGACATATTTTCAGTGGTTCATCATCATTCTTAAATGTCATTTATAAAGCCTTACCTTGGTGTTAGTATGAAGCTGCTGTTAGCTGTTTTTGTAACTTCTACAAATGGACCTGCCCCAGTAAACAAGACAGGGGACGATTTGTTCTCACTTCTGTAAGGAAAAACATTGCTTAAAACATATTCTTCTAGTTATAATAAAAATGTCATATAAATAATTGTGCTGAAGATAGGCACTATTTGTGGCTTTAGTAAGACAAAGAACTTACTTCTTCTTAGACACATTTCTTACAGCACATTTTTGAAATGATTATTGTTATGAAGAAACATGCTAAACTGAACAATCAAAATATGAACTGCCTACACTTTCAGCTACACAAGGATGTCACAAAGAAAAATGGGTTTACTACAGTGTGGAACCTTTTTTGGGGGATTTGGGCTAGAAACTGCCCAAACTGATGGCCAAAGCAAATAGATTGGAAGAAGGGAATAAAGTAACTGAGTTACTTGCTTTGTCTCCCTCCTCTGAAATGAGTCATTAACCCTGTGAATGCTAAAAGTGCCCTAATGTTCACCAACATGTAATTGAATGTTATAATAGCATAATTCAGTATAGCTAGGGGGGAAAAACTGGTTTGGGGATCAATGCAAAGAGTAATTAAAGCAATTTACAGGTAATCTTATGACAACAATTGGGACTGGAATTTCCATTGTTAAGCAATGTGGTCATAAAGCGAGACATCAAGAGACTGCATCACTTAGTGATGGCAATCCTGGCACTCCCCATTGCCATCGTTAAGCAAATTTACTCAAGTGACTTGCAACCTCCCCTGCTGGCTTCCCCACTGACTTTGCGTGTGGGAAGCTGGCAGGAAGGGGAAGGTTGCAAATGGTGATCACATGATTGTGGGGTGCTTGGCACTGGTCAAAAGTGCAAATGGGTTGCCAAGCACCTAGATCACAATCACGTGACCGTGGGGGCACTGCAACGGCTGTAACTTCAGGAAGCAGTCATAAGTCCATTATTTTCAGCAGCATTGTAACTTCAGATGGTTGCTGAACAATGGTTGTAATGTGAAGACTAACTGTACTGTTTGTCAATTAAGGGCTTCTATCAACAACACAACATTTTTATTGAAATTAACTACTATAACTGCATTGAATGTATATAAAGTGCTGTGCATTATTATTTAATCTTATTAATAAATTAGTTTTGCTCATTTTCTGCAGAGAACTGATTTATTATTAAACTATGGGCTTTATTTATTTGTTTACTTATTTATTGCATGTTCACACTTCAGTAATAAACTAGAGTTAGTCATTTGTTGACATTGTTTCCCATTCAGAAACTGCATTTGTGCATCCTCCTGTCTGATCTAAACATGGGAATATTGCAGCCATTTATATGTGATTAAGAATTCTGCATAATAATAAACTATACATTATTCAGAAATGAATTTAAACATAATCTCCTAGCTTAGTTCCAATGTAAAAGTGCTGGTATGTTGGTGAGGGAGAAAGTCATAGGGGAGAGAAGGTAAGTTGTTATCATTTAGGACTTAATTACCACTGCATTATACAACATTAATATACAATGGTATAGTATTACACATGAAACTTCAAGCAGGTTTTACTCTTGCATATTGAGAAAATGAAAATATAGACCAAATTCTATACCAAATGTTAGAATAAATTTAATAGAAGTACTTGAAAAATTGTCAGGATATCCTAGAAAGTTGAAACAGGTCTAGCTGAAGCTAGTATGAAAATAGTAGTGGGTAATAAACCAACATTTGGAAGATTTCCATTCTCTCATTTTCCATGGGTGTTTTTTTGGGGGGGGTGAGTGTGTGCTGTTGCCATATTGTTGCCAGCAAAGTTGTTGTTGTTTGTTTTTAAAAGAGGTTTTCTAAATAGCAGAAAGGAGAAAGATTTCCAAGTGAAGTTTCCAGAGCTATTCTGGATTTGACAGATAAATTTCAGTTTTTGTAATAAGCTTTCTGGAAGTTTATTCATTTATTTCTAAAATGTATATTGCCAGTTAATGGCACTTAAAGACTTAATATTAAAAGAGTAACATAAAACCACAATGAAAGGCATAATTTAAAATGCTTTATAACACAGTAATAAAAATAACAATAACATTCAGCATTGCTGGACGTGAACAGCCCAAAACATCATACATATCAACATTCTTTTTCCTGACAAAAGTGTAATCAAGTTGGCATTAGCCAGACTTACCTTAGCCCCTGAGGAAAGTTCCTGCTGCTGAAAAGGCCAGCTACATTGTATGGAACATTAATTAGAGCTTTAAATTTATACCTGTCCTTTCTTCCAAAGCAATATTATAAGCCATTGTATCTTCCATATACTGCATTAGTGGAAGAATATTAGCTCTGAAAGAAAATATAATTTAAAAAACCTTACTTACCCTAGTCCTAACAAGTTGCAGATACTGGATGATGATTCTTCAGTCCACTCATCAGCACAAGCTAAATGCCATTTATTCTGAATGTTGAATTGGACCAACCCGCTGGAGCTGAGAGAACCATTGATCAAGCGCACTGTTATAAAAATATGTTTTAACATATAATACAGATTGAGAGTTATTTTTATTCATAGTGATCTGCCTATGCTCAAGTTCAAATTCATTAAATGTGAAAAAACATCTTCCTGTTTTTCCTTGTCAAAAACCAAAGCAAAAAATAAAACTAGATTTTGAAATGAGCATTTTAAAAAAATTATACACCATTTTCCTGTATTCCATTTGTGTGTTTAGCACTGATTATTCCATAGTTGTTCTTGCATTATTTGGGATTCATATAAACAGTGGGTTTACCAAGTGGGGACCCATGGACCTTGGGATGATGGTCCATCTGATATAGTATATCGGTCAGAAGCATTTAGATAATCCAAAGGAAGAAGTATTTAGCCTTCTAGATGTTGCTAACCTAGATTTTCTGGTATCCCCAGTAAGTATAGCCAATGGCAATGGATAGTATGTAGGCAGAAACTGCAATTAAGTCACTTCCAGATTTCCACAAAATTCTCACTGCTGACAAGGCCAATAAGAAACAATCTGAAAAGTTGGCATGATTTATTTATTTATTTATGATTTATTTATTACCATATGTTTAAATGAGGTCTATAGCTTTAATTTGGGTCTGAATATTACAATCACTACTATCTAATTGCAAATCTATTGGATCTGCATGGAAAGTATTTCCTGCATTCAGATTTTTAACCTGCTAAGGAAATTTTTGCAAAATGTTCCTAATTTTTAAATATTGTATGCTTTGTGTGCTATGAATCTGCTATGAAAAGCAAAAATAAAGTTTTCTCCACCTTCAGTAAACATACTAGGAGACTTATTTTGCTTTAGGACACATGTAAAGTTAAGGAAGATGTGTAAGATACCTGACAAGAAATGTCTTACAAATGATTTTTGTACTAACAATTATGATTCATCCAGTGTGAGGCAAAGAACTATGTCTATAAATCTGAGCATCTATCCGCACATACCATTAAGTTGGACAGCTCTTACAGACAATTAATGGTTACTACTACTTTTTTTTTAACCAGCCCTCATCATCATTTTACCATGGATCTGCATGTAAAATGTTGTGCGGAGCCTATTATTTTTGGTTTATGTGAAACAGAGCTATATACAGAACATTTAATTTTGGAAATAACTACCTCCACAGATGGTGCTGTGACAACAGCTGTCATTGTTGTCAAAGTAACCTGCATCTGTGTTGTGAAACAGTTGAAATGTGGCTCTCCACAGCTGTTTTGCGCTCCTGTCAAACACTTTTATTGGGCTTACATTTGATCCTAAACTAAATTTCCTTGAAAAGAAGATTAAGGATGCTTTTTTTGGCATGTGCTGAGCAGAATATATATAAGTCTGCATGGCAGGAGTGCCATTGCTCCCATGTACATAAAGAATCCCCAAATCAGAATGAATATATTTCAGTTCAGGATATTAGATTGAAGTCATCAGTTTTCAACATTTTCTACTTTCACTGCATAGAGAAGGAGACACACACAAGGAGGTAAAATAAAATTGTGTACAGATTTTGTTTTTGTAGTGCAATGGTTGGACAGCCTCCTTTCATAAAGATTGTGCCCCCTCTCTGAAAGGGGTGTGTGGCTCCTCAAAAATCTACTTAGCTTTACTGCCCACTTTAGCAGGGCAGTTTTCCAGCCGTTTTCCAGCATGTGGTTGCCAGAGGACTGTGTGTGTTTTTACATTCCTACTCTTTTATTGAAAGCTTAACCACACAGAAGCACATTTCTTTCTCACCCTACAAGAGTTACAGAACCCAAGGAACGTTTGGAATTTTGCTTTATTGTACATCAAGCTTTATGAAGAGTGCTTATCACTTTGAAAATAGTTATCCTCCCTGGATTTGGAATTAGAAATGTTTTTGTATTTATAAATAAAATATTTACCACAATTTGCTTCATCGGAATTATCTTTACAGTGCTGGGATTGATCACAAATGTGAACCTGAGGTATACACTCTCCACTTCTACACTGATAATAATTGAGTCCACATGGAGCTGTTAATGAAGAAGACATACATACTATGTTACATGAAAATCAATTAATAAGTTACTAGTTTTAATGAACTAAATTTTATAATGCAGAGCACATTTCTCATATCTCATGTATAAGGTATATGTTTAACATATCTTGTTTGTTACTCCTGATACACAATGAGTAATTTCAAGAGACGAGCACTGAAAGTAAGCACGAACTATAATTAATAGAGAATTCTCTTAAAGAGGGACCACTCTAAAGGCCAGATGACACTTGGGCCAATGATAACCCAAAAGTTAACTATCTCTGTTCTTCCTTGTTCATAATTTAAAGTGAAGAAAAGTAGCCAGAAAAATGTTTAAACTTTTTCCTCATGCTGTTTTGTCTCTGAAAAGCTACTTCCAAGAAATTTTAGAATTTGAAAAAGACATTTATGAAATAAAGATAGATAGGGTTTTCACATTACTTTAAGCCATGCTTCCTTTAATCATAATTTATTGAATAAATCATAAATGTCTGGTTTGCACAATACAGCATGCAGAACTGAATGGACCATTCCACAGCTGTTATAAGGATGTATCGTGCAGGAAGGAATTTAATGGGATATACAGCCAAGAAGGGAATTATTAATCTGCCGCTTCCTGGCTGCTAATCATCCTTCTCCATAGAGTAACAGTGGGCTCCCATGCATTGCTATTGATTGATTGTTTTTTGTACCTTTATTGTGTACATAGCTGCTTTAAATTGTTTTCTATTTTCTCTTTTTATACAAATATGCTTTGATTAGGGACGTATACCAATGCAGTAAAATGAATCAATCAATAAGTAATCAGTCAAGATTATACTGGAGGTGAAAATTTATCATTGACCTGGACTAAAGTATAAAGTAAATTAAGAGTGACTCAGAGAGAAGCACTTGGAAATGAAGGATATTCTCTCTCTCTCTCTTTCTCCCTCCCCCCACCCCACTCTTTCCTATGCCTTTGTGTGGTATGTGGAAACTCACCTGACATGCCTAGATGGTAACCTGTAGTAAAATTGGCTACAAATCCTTTTCTGGTTCCAGATTTGTCTGTATTGAAGAGCACAGTCATTTGGTGAGTTGTAGAGAATACATCTGGCACTGGGGATTTTCCAGTATATACAGCTTCATAGTAGGAAAAAAAAATATAGTTTAGATATACTTCCAAAGACTAATGGAGTTTTGTTACACATTAGAATGATAGAAAATAAAACAAGCATAGGACTGAAAAAGATCTACTTTCTTTCATCCATATTTACTGAACATGATCTTCCAAGCTTAATCTAGGAAAAACAAATGAACCAACCAACACTGATTAAATATTCTGACAAATGCTAAACTTTAAATGTGCTTTATTTATAGATGATATTGAATATAGTCTAAATTAAAATATGCACTTGCTTTATAGTTTTGGTTTGGAAATTTATCTGGATTGCATCCAAGCTGTATAATATATCAGAAAGACTGATTTTCTGTAAGAGTTCTCTCTGACGACTTGTCACTACTTCCAGGAGTCTTTGGCATTTCATATAGCAAGTGATACAATGATACAACAGTACATGACAAAGAAAATATTCACACTGGAATCTTCTTAGTTTCCCCAATACTGCAGATTTTTAAATTAATTTAAATTATAGCAATCAACTTGAAAGTTCAAATTATATATATGAATGTATTCACCTCACATTTTATCTGCAATATTACTGTTATTGAACATTTTTATGAATGAAAATTATATTCTCACACTCAGCTCATGGGAATTTCAGGTTTCTGGAATTATTAAAAAGTACTGTATATATTTTTCACTGTGTATTATTTTTAAAAGTACAACACAATCAGAGAAGTATTATAATTCAGCATAATTTTTCAGATATATTGATAGGCTATGTACTTGCCCAATAATAAAGATTCAGCTCCTCTACCATCTCTGATTTCTACAACATCATAAATATTTTCCAGATCAAGATACTGGAAATGAAGTTGAATATTTTTTCCTTTTTCTGCATTCAAATGCCATACACCTAGAATTATAAATTTTAAGAAGGATATTAAACATAGTCCCCTAAACCAAAAGTACTAATTTGTCAATAGTTTCCATAAAGACATCCATGAAGCAGTTTTCACAGTTAACCATCATCATCATTCTTTATTACAGTCCAACACCAGTACAATATAAGTGAAAACACCTCAAAATCAACTCCAGAGTATAATAGCATTACAACATGGAGTGCTGACTGGAAGGATAAAGGAAGCTTAGTTGGTCTCTTGCCAGATAGTAGTAGAAGTGGTGGGCAGGATCAGAGGTGAAGACCACAAGGTTTGGGCTCCTGTGGCTGCTAGGAATAGATCACTAATGTGATGGCTGCCATGAGATGTTGGGTGACTGGAAAGATAGAAAGTCAAGAACAACATTTGGATGGAAAATGAAAATGAATAGAAACAGTGAGAAGAACAATGTCCAAGCAGCAACAATGTGATGGAGGTTTGGTGCAATTCTTTTTGGAGGTCAAACCAGTCAATCTTAAAGGAAATCAACCCTGATTGCTCATTGGAAGGATTGATACTGAAGCTCAAGCACAGATACTTTGTTCACCTGATGTGAAGAGAGGACTCTTTGGAAAAGACCCTGATGCTGGGAAAGATTGAAGGCAAAAGGAGAAGAGGACGGCAGAGAATGAGATGGTTAGATAGCATCAC